TGTGGGCGGAGCTGGTTCCTTCTAAGAGTTGGGAGGGAGGAATCTGTTCCATGCCTCCTCTCTCCTAGCATCTGGTAGTTTTGCTGGCAATCTTTGACATCCCGTGACTTCTGCTGAATCACCTAATCTTTGCCTTTCTCTTCACATGGTATTCTCCCTCTATGCATATCTGTGTCCAAATATACCTTTTTAGGCAACAATCACAATGGTTTAGAAGCCCACCCTATTCCAGTATAATCTTAAATAATTACACCTGCAATAACCCTATTTCCAAATAAGGCCAAATTCTGAGGCACCTGGACTTTGACATATGAATGTGGGGGGTGGGGTGGGACACAATGCAGCCCATAGCACCAGGTTTTATCATTTCTCTCCTGTAGCAATTTTCAATGATTATATATCCTTTTTTTCAGAGGTAAAAAGTTTGACTCTAACATGTGACAAACCACAGGTGCAGCCTCTCAGCTTTGGTTTAACACTCAAATTTCAAGATCACTCTGATTCAGGAAGGATACCAAATCCACTATCTCTGAAAGAATCCTACTAAGGACGCTGACCTCTTTTAAATGACTGCCTAAATTTGATTCACTAAAGATGACAGAAGGATCAACAGAAGATGTTTTAGATGCCATAGAAGTTTTATAAATGCATACAACATAAGGGCTTCTCCAGTGGCTCAGCGGTAAAGAACCTGCCTGCAATACAGAAGACACGAGTTCAATACCTGGGTTGGGAAGATACCCTGGAGGGCACGGCAACCCACTCCAGTATTCTTGCCTGATAATCCCATAGACAGANTAAGGGCTTCTCCAGTGGCTCAGCGGTAAAGAACCTGCCTGCAATACAGAAGACACGAGTTCAATACCTGGGTTGGGAAGATACCCTGGAGGGCACGGCAACCCACTCCAGTATTCTTGCCTGATAATCCCATAGACAGAGGAGCCTGGTGGGCTACACAGTTCACGGGATCCCAAGTCGGACATGACTGAAATGACTTAGCATGCACACATGCATACTACATAAATTATATACACATAAAAACTATATCATATAAATTATATATTTTTTCCTGGTCATAAAAGAGATTTTGCCAGCACTCTCAGTTTCTTCAAAAGTTGGTTGCAGACTTCCTTGGTGGTACAGATAAGAATCTACCTGACAATGCAAGGGACATGGGTTCAATCCCTGGTCTAGGAAAATTCCACATGTCATGAAGCAACTAAGCCTGTGCTCAACTATGAACCTGCGTGATCTAGAGCCCATGAGACTCATCTACTGAGCCTGTGAGGTGCAACTACTAAAGCCTGTGCCACTAGAGCCTGTGCTCCACGACAGTAGAAGCCACCGCAATGAGAGGTCTGTGCACCAGGAAGGGTCGCTCCTGCTCACTGCAACTAGAGAAAGCCAGCAACAAAGAAAGGCAACAACAAAGACCCAGCACAATCAAAAACAAACAAACAAACAAAAGAAAAAAGTCAGTCCTGAGTGGTGATTTCTAGTCAGGGGAGAATTACCTAGGAACTAAAAAAAAAAGCAGGGGGATGACAGAGGACAAGATGGTTGGATGGCATCACTGACTCAATGGACATGAGTTTGAGCAAGCTCTGGGAGATAGTGAAGGACAGGGAAGCCTAGAGTGCTGCAGTCCGTGGGGTCACAAAGAGTCAGACAAGACTGAACGACTGAGCAACAATAACAAAAAAATCTAGTGATACTGATACCTGAGTGCATCTTGTCCATCTAATTTACTTGGGCATCTTATCATTTAGAAGTTTCCCAGGTATATATTATCTTGATGGTGATGGCTGTCTACCTCTGTCAAAGTGTGCACTTGAAATAAGTGTAGCTTACTGTATGTCAATTATATCTCAATAAAGTTGTTCAAAAAATTAAAAGCTTCCCAGGTACCTAGGAAATCTCATGGACAGAAGAGCCTGGTGGGTTACAGTTCATGGGTTGCAAAAGAGTCGGACACGATTTAGTGACGAAACAACAACAGGTGATTCTAGTGAACATCCCAAAGTGAGAACCATTGAGCTAGGTCAACCTCATCACTGAAGCACGTAAGGAAACAGCCCTAAAGGAAAGAAATATGCTTCAGAATCATGTCACAGCAGGCAGGACTGCCAGGACTCAGACCTCGTGACTCCTGTATTATTTCAGTGTCCTGGACTTAAAACCAAGATGATAAAGCATTACCGAGCTCCTCAAAACATTTTAAAAGAGGCACTTGTAAAATCTGAAGTCCAGCAATTGTTACACAGAGATGTAAGCCATGAGTTAAAACCAAAAAACCGTACCAGCCTTTACTTGGTGGTTCAGTTCAGTCCAGTCACTCAGTTGTGTCCGATTCATTGTGACCCCATGAACCACAGCACTCCAGGCCTCCCTGTCCATCACCAACTCCCGGAATCCACCCAAACCCACGTCCATTGACTCGGTGATGCCATCCAGCCATCTCATCCTCTGTCATCCCCTTCTCCTCCTGCCCTCAATCTTTCCCAGCGTCAGGGTCTTTTCAAATGAGTCAGTTCTTTGCATCAGGAGGCCAAAGTATTGGAGCTTCAGCTTCAACATCAATCCTTCCAATGAACACTCAGGACCAATCTCCTTTCAGATGGACTGGTTGGATCTCCTCGCAGTCCAAGGGACTCTCAATAATCTTCTCCAACACCACAGGTAGAGTCACTACTTAAAAGCGTAGCTGGTTGTCCTTTCCGTGTACTCCAGGTATACACTCCCCTCACTCTATCCACTCTGTTGTGACGAAAAGTGGGGTTGGTAGAGCTCTGGGCAATTTGGTTGTGAACTACATATATCACTCTCTGGACTGCCAAAGGGGGAGAGGAGTGACTGACCTCCCTCATTCCAACCCTAAGTATCCTTTCTTTCAAAAGTAAAGGTAACCAACAAGGGGCACAGATGAGTAACAGACCTTTTGAACATTGGTTGGAAAACATGAATAGCACTAGCTACATTAAAGATATCTGGCCTACTTCTATTACAATATGTTTCTAATTAACCTAATTGGATATTAGCATTTTAATAAAATTATTTCAGGAGCCTTTCTCAAGGGAGATAGGACCTCACAACTATTCCCATTACTCAATTTTATCCTCCATTTCACTTATAAAGAAAGGGAAGACAATACAGCTTCCTAGGTGTCTACCACAGAATAGACAGGACTTGATTTCCCTATCTTTCTCTTATGTTTTCTTCTTTCAAAAAAAAAACAGAAATTAAGGACTGTCAACAGAGTGACCTAAGAAAAACTCCCTAAATGATTCTTGCTTCTTGAGTCACTCATTCATCGTGAAATCCTATACACACAAGCTGAATTGATGACAATCTTAAATCTTGAGGGGCTAATTCTTTTAACAAACCACATTCTGAAAAGCATAGAACATGTTGCTCTCAACAATTTTTTAATGAATACATTAAATAAAAAGCAAATGACTTGGGGGAAGATTCATAAAAGAAATTAAGACAACAGACTGGTTAAGCTGTTCCTGGTATCTCTTCCCACTAAACAAAAGGATAAATACAGAAGTTCTGCACCTACTGAATTTTCCCTTAGAAAATTAAAACTCTTTAATTGTAACATATTATTAATAATACATCAGGCAACTTTTAGCAACATGATCAACTGATTCTTGTAAGCTTTTGGATCACAGGAGCCATTTGTTCAGCCATTCCTGCTTCTTGTACTTCTTATAACTTTTGGAGAACAACTGCATTATCAAACAACAGTTAGCTGGGGGTGGAGGTGACAGCAAAACAGGATCCTAGTGAATTACTATTCCCTACTGTCTATGTTCCATTTCAAACGTGGGAAATGCAGATTCCATTGTTAAAAACCATGGAATTTATAGGTAAATTCCATCAACAAATTTGGCTATGAAGGTATCCTGCTTTTCTTTCTGACCAAAGTATTAAAAAATTCCTTGTTTTAAATGTAAGCAATCACAAATAGTTAATGTTTGTTTAAACTTTTATTAAGAAACTAAAGCAAAGAAGAATTTCAAAAAATTAATATACAGAATTCTAATTTTAATTCTAAACAAATAAGAAATCTACACCAAGAACTAAATAGCAGAGTTTACCAATATTCAAGAGTAAAGGGGAATGGCTAAAATGCATTCACAGTCACTATTTCTTCCTTCAAAGCCTCAGATTTGGACAGAATACAAAAATTTGGACAGGATACAAAAATTTTTCTCATCTATCTTTTGTTATTATAGCCTATAAATTCAGAGAAGGTGTTTTCTTCCTATAGCAAATATGCAATATGCAATTCCCTGCCTACTGGGTTTGATGACATGTGAGTCCATCAGAGATTCTTTCTTAATGTGTTTAGGGAAGATAAGATATCAACAAATAATAAATATAAATAAATTTATACAAGTTATAAAGTAATACAGCATGAGTTATGTATAGATAAATACAAAGACTAGGAAATTTCAAGGAAGAAGAGATTACATTCAGCTAGAGAAACTGAGGAATGCTTTACTAGAATAACATTTGGGTTGGGTATGGACTGTTCCTTCTCAGAAGGCTTTATAGTGGTTCTGACTGTGGTGGTCTTAATTTCTAGAAAGTAATCTCAATAGTGATCTTTAAAACTCAAGTTTCTATCTTATCAAACTGTTCATTTTTCGAAGCAATCAAAAATATAAATATTACAGTCTATATAAACAGCAGTTTGGGGACATAAATAAAAAGTTAATTATAATACCTACTATGTGGGTTAGGGCTTCATTATTTTCAAAACTCTTTCTCTGATCAAATCATATCTAAAAGGCAGAAGATGCCTAATCATAGAACCACAATTTTTCAGTATTCAACTGAGCAATACCTACTTGCTTTACATGCCTTATCAAATCTATATCCAAAATTATAGGAGTAAGAATGAAGGAGATGAAATCAATGGTTTAACATTCAAAGGTCAGACAATGAAAAAATAATGGCAACTAAGAAATGATATATATTAACCACAGAACTCTTTGTATGAAAAGTTTTAATGAATTGTGAGCCATTGACCATTACAGACTTTAAACCTTAATATTTCTTCTTTCCTGTGTGAAACCAGATAATTAAACCAGTCTATCTCAAGTATGACAGAAGACCATAGTATGAATAAGAGTAATGTTTTCTTACCCATCCGCATGCTTCACTAAAGTTAAGAACCAAAGAGAGTGCTCCTGGTTTCCCAAGTCAACAGAGCAGATCCAATTACACATTTCTTCCTGATCACAGTTTCAGTTGAAATACAACAAATAAAACTTTGCCTTTCAATAGCACTTTTTATCCACAGCACAAGCACTTTCCCATTATTTTCTTCTTTACCCTCAATATCCTTATGAGGTAGTGGAGAGAGGGAGCAAGGATTTTTTTTGCAGATGAGATAACTTAAGGTGAATTTTGATCAGTGGTTCTCAGCCTTGGCAACATACTGAAATCATCTAAGAAGTTTTTTAAAATCCTTATGGTCATGTCATACCCCAGACCAACAACAGAATCTTAGGGTATGGGACCCAAGTATCAATATTTTTCAAAATGCATATGACTCCAAAGTATAGCTAAGGTTGAGAACCACTGGTTTAGATTATTTGTATTTAATATTCAGACGCAACTGTCTTCTACTTAAGTGCTCTCTCAGTAGCAGTGAAAAAGAGACTCCATTTCCTCAAACACTGTAACAGTTTATCTTAGTATTCTATACAACTACTATTGGTATCCGTAACAATTTACCCGGTTATAAACAAAAACTCCTTACTCCCCTGATGCTCATGCTAAATAAGAACCTCCATTTTATAAAATTTGCAAATCAGATATTAAAGGATTTAAATCTCTAAGAATGGCTTTTTGTTAAATATTTAGGCAATTATTTGATTCTAGGTTCAATATGCAATAACCATGTGTTTCTGTTTTCCATTCAGCACCTTCAAAACTTTGTTACAAATTAATGTTTACTAATAAGACAAAACATAGGATATAAAAAAAAAACTGAGCAAAAGCTCTTGGAATTGATCATATCCAATCTAGTTTTCTAATTAGTTTAATATTTTTTTCCTGTATCAGATCTCTTCTTTAGTTAAATTTTAAACTTTGCAAAACTGAGTTGTTCCACACCAAGAAAAAAAATGCATTTCTGTAGCAGCTATATTCTCTAATACATTTAACATATAATTTCACTCTAGTATTAAATATGGTTTCTAGGAAGTTTCTTCCTTGATATGGGTTATCAAAAAGGATCTTTTACAGATTTCACCTTTAAGCAACATACCAAATATACAATAAATACTTGTGTACACCTTTCAGGTGGCAAAAATGAAATCTTTGCTCATGACTGAAATCCCTTGCTTCATGAGAGTACTGATAATATTAACTCTCAAGGAGCAACCCAAGAACCCCAGCCAACTGCTTGCTGTCCCTAATTTTATTAGATGCAAAACAAAATATGCATACAGCAAAACCTAAAAAGCACAAAGATTCCACTTGCCTTAGTCAATTCTTATCACAAAGATGTATCTGAAACCATACAATTTATACTTTCATACAGAAAGATATTTGTTTCTGTTTCTTTTCTAACAAAAGAAAATTTCAGTTCATGTACGTTGAATTAATTTGAAAAAGTATTAGTGAAATCAGATTTATTAGTCAAAAATTCTGAATAGGAATTAATGTTAAACTCTTCTACTACAATGAAACCTTCAAAATATTGCCAACCTGAAGTTTCCAGCATAAGGTGTTTTATTTCAAGTCCCATGGGGGCAATTATCTATAATGAGATTAAGAACATTCTTAAGCTGGGTTCAGGCTGGCACTGTTTCAGGTGGCTGAGTAAACATTTTCTTGACAACCCCAATAACAAGTTTGAGGCTTAGACTGTTGCATGATGTAAACAATATGAACTTAAAAAGATTATAATATCTACAGCATTATAAAGTTACAAAATAAAAGGGTCATTGATCAATTATTTTCTTAAGGTCTGTGACTAACAACTTTCATATTTGAAGCCTATAAGAACAAATGGCAATGTTCTTTATTCTTACAAGACACTTTCTCAAAAGGTCAAAAAAATAAAACCAGATGCACATTATTATTATTACTGATATATGTATGATTAGAAATAGATTTGCCTTCCCTCAATCTTAGCCTGGAGATGAGGGACATTTACAATAATTTTGATGGTTAAAAAAATAAATCAGACTGTAACAGCTATGGAAACTGTAAGCCAAATATAATACAAAACAAGCCAATACAACACATCTCTTAAAATCCTCTTCTTTGTAGTTACCAGACTGTCCCTAATGTTGTTCTAATTTTGTACCATGTAGTGGTTTTTAAGAAACTGAACTAGAACAAAGCAACTCCTTTGCCCTGTTTTTTTATAACAGTTTTTTTTTTTTTACACACATACTGTATATACAACTTTTAAAATAGCTGCACAATTTTATATCTCACTGTTAGAGAAGTGCAGTCCAGGCAGACCATGCTTCTCAATATATTAAAAATATTAAATAAAACCCAACCAGTTTCATACTTTTCCAATAGTCAAGCTGGTTGGAAAAAAGGGTCTGGAGAAAAAACAGGCAGTTGTAAAACAGGATCAATCTTTCTTCACAAACACACTACTTAAAAACTCTTGCTAGTTCCTTATCTTATCCCTTTGACACCATCTCTATGATCTCACCTTAAAAGTTGGAAATAACACATTGCTAACTTAGAGACAAAATCTGTTGAAACATGCATATGTCAACTGCCCACTCAACCAACTGCAACCCTGAGGATTTTTCTGGCCCAGTAGAAAGAGGAAACACTAAGATCATCTCTGCTGTAGAGTTGCTTCTCCAGTTAACAATATCATGTGTTTTTCAGGATGTTTCTTGGGCATGCATGTATGACACTGTCACTTCATGATTCTACTTCCCACAAGCAGATACCTCCTCCACTCTGTCTTTCATCCCAAGAAAGCCACTGTCATCCATCCAAAGGTTTTCCAAGGTAAACCAAAGTCACTTCCGTGTTGCCATATACAGCAGAAACTGCTGGATATAAGCAGACCTTTGGAAGTCCTCTAAAGGCAACCCCCAGGAATTCATATCCACGTTCAAAAGCTAGAGTCTTATCTTCCATGTCCAAGATGACTCGAATTCTTTCTCCTATCTGCAAACAGACATCAAAAGAAGGTTAGAAGAAACCCATCAAAGGCATAATTAGAGGAAATCAAGTTGAAAATATTATTAAGAATATGCATCTCAAAAGTTATCTAGAAAAACCAACAAAGTTATTCAGTCAGGGAGAAACATCGAGAAAAAGAACACACATCAATTGCATCACAAATGTTTTGATGGTCTTTTTTAAATTTTAATTTAATTTTATTTTTTTTGATGGTCTTTTTTTAAACTTAAGACTTGTGTGGGATCAATATTTAATGCTGAAAATTTTAATATTCTTTCTGAACAATCCCAAGATTTTATTTATTCTTTTTAAGGGCTTTTTAAAGAAGGTTACCTCTAAAACCTATAACTTGGCACATTTTACCAAAAAAAGGCACTCCAAATTTTCTCAATAAATACATAAATAAATAAATTTTCTAAAATTACTACAGTAAATGCATACAATGGAATGCTTTCCAACCTTAAAAAGAAATTTTAGTATGTGCTACAACATGAGTGGACTTTGAAAACATTATGCTAAGAGAAATAAGCTAGACACAAAAATACAAGTATTATACTATTCCACTTATACCAAGCATCTGGAATATTCAAATTCACATAGACAGAAAATTGAATAGAGGTTACCAGAAGCTGGGGGAGGAAGAAATGTGGAGTTATTGTTCAGTGGGCACAGAGTTTATGCTGGGGATGATGAAACAGTTTTGGGTATATGTTGGGTATACATAGTGGGGATGGTTGCACAACACTGTGAATGTATTTAATGCCAATAAATTATACACTTACAAATAGTTAATAATAAAGACCGTTGTATATATTTCACCAAAATAAAAACACTATAATAAAACACTTAGCCATTAAATTATACAAAGCAGTTCTACATACAATATGGAAATTATATAATTATGAATTGTCAAATCTGGCTATAGGTTCTAAAGACACAAAATACACTTATTAAACAATCACTTTGTGGTCCACTAATCTGAAACACCTGTTTGTTAAAAAAGGAAAAAAAAGCAGCACTGATTGTTAAACTAAACAGAAGCACAATTATCCAGTTCTTTTCACATATGGAAAAGTAAGCAAAGAAGTAGCATGCTATATCCTTATAACATGCATATGTTAGAGGTTGTTGCATCTATATACCTGGAGGCAGAGAATCCTAACACTCTTCAATCAAAAATCATAATTGAACACTTTCCGGTTATGATATCCCCCAACTGCTATCATTACCTTCCTTCATTGTATTTCCTATCACAAACAACTACAAATATCTTTTTCTCTCTCTCTGCCCAACTCACAGATTAATCCCATTTTATGGACCTAAGAACTTCCAAATTACCAACATCACTATTTTACAAAGCACAGATAACAACAAAAACTAGAAACAAAAAGCTAATATTCTGATGAGTATTTGTTGACTGATTTTATATTATCTCATTTAATTCTCACATCACTCCTAGGAGTTATCCCTATTTTACAGAAGATGAAAATAAGAAAACAGAACCACTCCCCATGAAATTTTCAAGTCTGCTTTATCTTTGAGCATATAGTATGCACATAGCACAAGGAGTAGAAAGGCCAAGTTTTAGGTGTCAGAGGACAAAATTTAGAGATAGCAGCACCATTAGAAACTTAGAGGAACACAAGAAGCAACAAAACCACAAAGAGGATGAGCCCCAAAATAAACTCTGCCCAAATCCTTGTGTGAGGACTGCATTACACAGACACAGGGAAAACCCTCAGGGAACCAGGCAGAAAAAGCAGCAGCTAGAAGCCAAAAAAACCAAACAAAGATATTAACTGCTATATACAGTTTCAGTCCAGGCAAGTTAACTGCCTACTAGAACAAGAAAACCTACAGTTTTCAGAACAAAGCAGTTTCTAAAGGAACAAAACATTCCAGAGTTATTGTATTGTCTACCAGGTCCAGTTTTCAGTTAAAAAAATGAATGGATATGAAAAGAAGCAGGAAAGTACAACTTACACACGTGGAGAAAAAAGAAGTCGGTAGAAACAGACTCCAAGTGGGCCCTAGATGTTGGATTTGGAAAAGACTTCAAAGTAGTTATTATAAAATATATACAAAGAACTAAAGAAAAACACAGTACTAATAAATAAACAGACAGAGATCTCAGTGGAGAAATGGAAACTATAAAATGAACCAAATGAAAGTTTTAGAGCTCAGGGGCACAATAACCAAAATTCACAGCCTGACTCAACAGTGTTACAATGACCAGGGAGCTTAAATAACAAGAAAAAAAACTATGAACTTAAAGATAGAACACAGAAATTAACAAATCCAAAAAACAGAGAGAAAAAGGGACATAGCTCCAGAGGCACAGAGACAAGGAGAATATCAAGCAGTCCAACAATTACATTAAATATAAATGGACTAACTACTCAAATCAAAAGATTGGGTTAGATAAAAAGAAAGATATAATTATATTTAAAATGAGTCCCCCAGACTGCTTATAAAGACAGAATAAATGTAAAAGGATGAGGGGAAAGAGGTACTCGGCAATAGTAAACATAAGAAACTTGGACTGGCTGTACTGACATTAAGACAAAATAGACATAAACACAAGGACTATTACTAGAGTCAAAGAAGGTTATTTCGGGTTTCTCTGGTGGCTCAGTGTAAAGAATCTGCCTGCCAGTGCAGGAGATACGGGTTCAATCAATCCCTGATCCTGGAAGATCCCACACACTGCAGAGCAACTAAGTCTGTGCACCGCAACTATTGAGCCTGTGCTCTGGAGCCCAGGAGCTGCAACTACTGAGCACACGTGCCCCAACTACTGCAGTCCACGCACGCTAGGGCCCGTGCTGCACAAGAGAAGCCACCCCAATGAGAAGCCCACACACCTCAACTAGAGAGTAGCTCCTGCTTGCTGAAACTAGGGAAAAATCTGTGCAGCAATGAAGACCCAGCATAGCCAGAAATAAATAATAAATTTTTTCTAAAAAAAGGTCATTTCATAATGATAAAAGAGTCAACCACATAGGTAGATATAACAATTATAAATATGCACCTAATAACAATATCAAAACACATAAAGCAAAAACTCACAAAACTGAAAGTATAGATAAATCAACAATTATAGTTGGAGATTTTAATACTCCTTGGTAAATGACAGAACAGGTAGAAGAAAAACATAGAAAGCAGAAGACATAAATATTGTTAACCAATTTGACCTAATTGTCTTTAATAGATTATTCCATCCAGCAACAGAAGATATTCAAGTACTCATGGACATTCATCAGGATAAACCGTATGCTAGGAATAAAACATCTCTCAATAAATTTAAAAGGACTGAAATCATATAGAGTATGTTCTTTGAAAAACAAAAAATAAAGGACTTTCACTATAAAATCACGCATAGTGACAGAACTTTATCTTCAATGATTACTAAGTCCAGACATCCTTCTCTTTAGTGTATCTGTATAGCCTGAAAGAACAGTAAGGAAAGGATTCTATGAAAGAAAACTTTCCATACTTTTATACCTCAGGAAATGGGATATATTTTTAGTTCTTCTACTTTATTATGCTTGACTTGAGGTCAATACTAAGGCTAGAGCTTTCAAACCACATGTTCCTCTAAAATGCACAATCTATAATTCTTTAAAATTTCCAATTTATCAGATTATTATTTTTTAGATTCTGCTGAATCTATGGTGATCACATAGCTTTTACAAATAGGAACTATAATTTTGACCCTAGAATAAAATGACTATGGCTGAAGGTTAAGATGAAAAGAATTTTAAAATGCAGTAGTTTGGTCCAGTGGTTAAGCTTCTGTGCTTCCACTGCAGGGAGCAGAAATTTGATCCCTGGTCAGGGAACTAACATCCTACATGCCATGTGGTGGAGCCAAAAAACAAAAATTAAAATAAAAATGTAGTAGTTTGCCTGAACTTGCCTATCTTTATAGAAATCATTGACACCTCCAGAGGCTTTGAATACAATCCACAGGTAAGTAGCAGAGAAAAAGTATGTATATACTCACACAAAAGTGCATTTGTGGGGGTGAGATATCTAGAAAAAGTAATTTAAATGTGCCATGTTGTAAGATTATAATCTAGAGTACAAGCTGGCAAACTATGACTCCTGGGCCAAATCTGGCTTGCAGTGTATAAATAAGTTTTTACTGGAATAATAAACAACAGAGTTGAACAGTTATGAGAGACAGTATGGACCATAAAGTCTATCTGACCCTGTACAGAAAAAGTGTGCCAATCCGATTTAAAGTAAAGACAGATTGCTCAGACTGAATATGTATAAGGAAAAAAATATTAAGATACTAAAAGATAATCACAGTAGCCAAAAAAGGTCAGTTACACTATTTATTTAAAAATTACCAAAAAGACAAATAATGCTGCTATAGAAAACTTTGTAAATTTAAAACAAATTAAGGCATGATTTAACAAAGGCTCACTTTTCAGAAAATACTTGGTTTCTCACCTGATATTTCGGTGCATTGTTGCACTGTGGAAAACTGCCATTGACTTCTCCATTATGCAGTAGATTATTGTCCACTAGGTTCCAGCCCCAGCTCTGGTCGTCACTGCCCAGCAATGCCACGTAACCTTGGCACTGCATGGGGGCTCGTTTCGTAGCAATCCCAATCACTGCCACAGTGCCCAGAGGGCCCTCCCACCACACTTCCCATGCGTGGCGGCCCTCACTGAAACCAATCTTGGTCCTTGCACCATCAGTGCTCTGAGCGATGGGGTTTCGATGTAAAGTAAAGCCATTCTTCTTAATGTAGACATTCCTGGAGCAGTCATTAGTGCTGAAAGCATGTTGGAAAGCACGTATCTGAAAAGATGAAAGGCCAGAGAAAGAGAATTTTATTTTTCTTAAACATTAAAAAGTACCCAAACTTTAGGGTACATGTTTTTAAACAATAAAATTGTATATTTTAAATAATACAATAAGTATTTCTCAAAAATGGCTCATTTTTGGGATGAGACACTAACATAATAAATTACACAACATTAAACTGCCAACTGTTTCATTATTGACCAAAATTCTAAATTGCTGTATAATCTCTCCAAGTAGACTTCTTAAGACATCAAAAGATATACACAGAAATCCTTATATTTCAGAGAGAATACGGAGATGTTTTTGGGTGACATAATGATATTTGGCAATTGCTTTGAAATATCCACGAGTGGAGTGGGAGATTGGACAGGGTAAACATGAAACTAGACTGCCCATGAGTTAACCACTGGTAAAGCTTGGTGATGGGTATTAGGGAGGTTGTTTCCTCTACTCTGGTTTATATTTCATATTTTTACATTAAAAAGTTCAAATATGCAGTTTTCATGTAGGCAATGCTGTCATCAAAAAGAACGGTATTTTAAGTAAAACAGGGAACTTAGTCACATTAGCTATGAAAAATGTTAATAACCACAAACTATCTTAGATCCTCTGGCCTCCTTGCTAGGTATTACTCATACACTAAGACATCACTACTCTTATTTTACCAAATCAAATAATCCCCTAGATAGCATCTAAATTCAACCACTAAAATTTATAAAGATAGTCATTAACAGCAGCTACCATTAACAGGTTAGTTGACTTTCAGTAATCACTAGTCTTTTAAACTTCCAAAATAAAGACAGTAAGAAAATTGTTATTACTATACCATTTCTCATGTTTTAATAACTTATAGCTTTTTGGTCTGTATGTTTTTCAGAAAATCCCTTCTTTACTCAAACTGTGCAGAAGCAGTTGAAGGCTAGGACCTATTGCTTTAGTTAACCTGAGAAATCAATTCCCGAAACATAGAATTTCATCATAGAAAAGACCTTAAGACCCTTACCTAGTTAAACTCAGGAATTAGGACTCGGGCATAAAAGTCAACATGTAGTTAGCATAAGAGCCTCAATAAGTCAAGCATCCAGTCCCCTCATCCAGTGTGCCCTCCCCTTTATCATTAGTGAGTGCTTCACTGTTTAATTGTTGTACCCCATCAGATCACAGATTAAAACAGAAACAAAAAACCTCTTTGGTTCAGGTGTCCCATGTTTTCATAAGGGGGATGTAAACCTGAAATGTATCTAATTTTTTTCTGTATCTATTCTTATTATAACAACCTGAAAGTGCTATACACATCCCAACCATTTGATTCTAGCTAAAAGAATCTTTAAAAAAATCTAATCTAACCTAAATTTATCAAACTTTTACAGGAAATACAGAGGACAGAGAACATGTTAAGCAAAACCATACGAATGAAACCAGCAAAATCCAGACTGAGGATTACTATCTACAGGGTAAACACCTGGGTTTCTTCAAGAAATAAAGTGCAGGGATGAGAGGTGGGAGAGATGGAAAGTGTATCTGCAGACAAAATTAGCCTTAAGAGACATATCAACTGTCATGAGAACCTTATATAGATAGATCCTGCTTATATAAACTGAAAATTAAAGATACAACATTTGACATTTTTATGAAAAAACTGGAAATTTGAATGCCACACTTCGTATATTAAGGGGTTATTTATTTATACTACAGATGTAATAATGGTATTGGGATTAAGTGTCCTTATCTTTCAGAGATAATGTGAAAAATCAGATAAAATGGAAAATACATAAATAAAAACAGTCTATAGTTGTTGCTATGCAGTCTCATACACAATACGGATTTTGCATTATAGCAAACAGCTTTCAGATCTCTAGTTTAGGATGTAAGTTTGAGATTTAGAGAATTACAATTAGATGTCAAGTATGACTGGAGTAACTAATGTTACCTGGTATATGTAAAACACGAACTTCTAAAAAGCAGTCAAACCCTAGTCAGACTGACAGCCCCAAACGCTTCCCACGTTTACGCTGGCCCAGGCCTGTTCTCGTCCTTTTCCCAGTTACCCTCACTTCCTGGCAATCATATTGACTCTTCCTTTCTCTTCATCCCAGCTCACCCAGTCAGTTGTCCATCTATGCGCCCTTGTTTTCTTGCAGTTTCTCTCCCAGTTATCCTCTTCTCTGCTCCATACACTTATTCTGGTCTTGAATACCTCTGGCATAGAAACCAACCCCTGCCTTCTTGAATTCATCTTATGGACTACTAGTTTTTCTAAAGCACAGCTCTTACTTTGCCATTCCTTTGCTCAAATTTCTGTGGTTTCCAGCTGTAAAACAAAGCCTAAAATACAGACTGAAGCCTGTATGTCAAAGACCTCCAAGATATCTCTAGTTTCTGCTTACCTTTTTTTTTTCTTTCTTTCTTTCAACAGACACTGGCTTTCACTACCTCTTTTTGCTATTCTTTCAACAACCAAATTACACAAACACGTTCATGGCCTCTGCANAGCCAGCCAGACTCCTCTGTCCGTGGATTTTTCCAGGCAAGAATACTGGAGTGGGTTGCCATTTCCTTCTCCATCTGCTTACCTTTACAATCATATCTCCCAACTACAATTCAATCTAACTATTTTATATCTTTAGCCTTCCCTCTAAGCTACAAACCGTAACAGATGCCTATCTGAAAACTCTTGATGTCTTAACACTGTAAATTCTGTGCTACCAAAACTAAACTCATTGTTATTCCTCCAAAATCTAGCCCAGGTAATCCCTATATTATGTAAGCCAGATACCTAGAAGTCATCTGAGCACCTCCCTCTTCCTCAGCCCGATTTCAAATCTACTGCCAAGTCCTGTAGCTTTTATTGCCTAAATTTCTCACCATCTCTTGTTCTACATACTTACGACTATATATATTTCCAAGGTTCCCCTCCAACTGGTTGTTCATTCTTAAGTCATAATAACCTCTTAAAAATGGAAAACTATCATATTACCAACCCCCAAACTCCTAATTCTCCTTTGCTTACAATTTAAAATGGCTTCCTTTTGTTTGGCTCCAGTCCACCTCTTCCATCTTTATCAAACTTGCCTCAATTTTGCTCTCTGTGGTCCAGTCGATTATCTTCTGTCACTCATACTCACCAGGTTCCCTCCTGGAAGGCTCTTCTCTCTCTCTCTGGCCTATTTATCCTTTTTTCTGGTGGTGAGGGGGGGTGTCTCAGCATTATTTTCTCAGACAAAGCCTTTCCTGACCTCGTTACTTAGGTCAAATTCTCCACTACTGACATTCAGAGCACCATGGATCTAACCTTCATAGGACTCATCACAAATGCAATTTTACAACTGTGTGACTATTTGATCAATACCCACTTCCCCCCACTAGATTAGTGCTATATGGGAAAGCATCCATAAGCATTTGTGTTTTTATTCAGCATTGCATCTGCAAAACTGAGCATAGTACCTAACATGCATCCTTTTTTTTAATAAAAATATATACTATTCAAATCCTCTGCTTTCCACTATCTTGCTTTTTGTTCAGGGTATTTCCTCTTAGTAAAATGTTCATATTCTTCCCATCTTTAAAATTCAGCTCAAATACAATCTCAATCCTTCTAAAACTGTTCACTCAACTTGTGAATCTCTTTCACTAAACGTCTAGTTTCTAACTAATAACCACTATAGTTATTTCTATACATTTTTTTTTTCCTCTTCTCGTAGACTGAGAACTTTCCTACTAGGCTATGTATATCCTTTTGAATTAATCTTTTATCTTCAAGATATTCAAGAAAAGTCCTGCAACATCTGAATGCACAAGTCTATAACACCTACAGTGCAAGTAGTACAAAGGCATACAAAGTATTAAAATTTATAACCCTCTGCAAAGATAAAGAAAAACAGGTAACATAGGCTGCCTCCAATCTGGATGGTGGGGGTATAAGGACTAAAGGAAGACATTTTGCTTCTTTTGCTTCTTTTGAACACTGACTCACATGAATACATTATTTATTACATATTATTACATGAATCTTGAATCATGTGAATATGTCTATTACACATCAACTACAAAAATGTCTTAATTTAAAATAAGTAAAAATAATAAACTTTATGGAAAAATAAAAACTAAATAAGAGTCATGAAACCTATATGTTTATTAGGCACAGTGAGACAAAATTGCAATCTTCTGCCCTCTACTATATGAATTACAATTATTATCCATTGAGCATCTACTGTCCTTGTGAGTCAACATGTTATTTCACTTAATAGATAAACAATTTGACATATTTAAAAGTAGTAATCCTTATCCTAACCTTATTAAACTGAAGCCTATTTTATTACAGAATACATTTTACATTTATTTCACATGGAAAAGAAATTTTCTCCTTACTCTGGCCCCCCTGGCAGTCTAGCATTAAAAAGATATACTTTCCCTTTTTTAGCTGTTAATGTATTTTTATGTTTACCATATTCTAGATCAGACTTTATCCTCTCTCATCTATACTCTTGGTGACTGCAATCCTAAACAACTGTATCCATCCAAACTGAACTCAAGTTTACAGCCATTTGTTTATATTGCTTGAGGAATGCTCTCAGTCCTACCAAGATCTGCTACTTGACATTTTTATTTGTATATGAAGGTAAGACTAAGCACAAGAGTCTGGCAGCGGGGGTTAAAAGGCACCAAAAATGGAAACGGCATGTTGGATGACAAACAGAACATAAGAGATACACCAGAAAGGTGAACTATGAAAAAGTTGGCAAGGCAACAGCCAGTAATAGTGGGACATGGCAATATTTTATGACTGTTAAGTGGCGCCAATGGTACGATGTTCTATTCAAAGCCTTTATCTTTAAAGTTAGCAGGATGCCTTGGACCACACTTATTTATAAGCCTGTAACATAGCGGAGCGAATTCAAGGTACTTGGGCAAAAAATAAAACATAGTTATAAATCAGATCTTGGAAAACGTGAGGCGAAATAAAAAATCTTAGAAACTAAGTAAATAAGGCAGCCGAGATGATCTAATAAAGGACAGAGAGAAAAATAGGATTAGAGTATTGAAAGCTACAACAATGGCCTGTTTTTAAGGGGACAGAAAGTGGAAAGTAGAATGACTGATGGAAACCAAGGATGGAAAACCATCTGATCCTTTAAAAAGTGCATCACGGAAGTGGGGTGGGTTAAGGAGCAGAACTTCAACCCAGAGATCTTTATGGCGGGGGAGGCGAGGAAGGGTACTGACTGGAGCGGTGGAAAGGCACTTCTGACTCAGAAGCTTAGCTGAGAAACGCTGAGAGCTGCGCGGAGAAGCGGGACAGGGGGCAGCGGCGTGGCGCGGGGCTCCCTCACCTTGGCCTTGTAGCTGGGCAGGTTGCAGAGGATGTCCGTGCGCAGAGCCTCCTCTGCCAGGCTGCGGGCGCACAGGCTCCGCCACACCTCGCTGTTCTCATCGCCGTGCAGGCAACGGTACCAGTGCTTGCACACCAGGGCGCAGCTCCGCAGCTCGGACAGCTCCAGGTAAGAGAACACCAACTCCAGCACCCGGCTGGGCAACCGGCCCCCGGCCCCAGAGCCCGAGCCGGCGCCCGCGCCGCCGCCGCTACAGCCAGCGCCGCCCGAGGCTGCCCCAGCCCCCGGGGCCGGCGCCATCGCCTCACCACCCGGCGCGAGGACCGCCGCCGCCGCCGCCGCCGCTTCCCCCCGTCTCTGCTCCAGAGGCCAAGCCTCGCCTTGAGACCGGAGCGGCTCGCTCACCGCCCCTTTCACAGCTAACCGCCCGGCCCCTCCAAACCACTCCCGCCCCTGCCCGGGGGCGTCCGCCGCGCGCCCCGCCTCACTGAGGGCAGACGCACCGACTGCACGGGCGTCCCCCGCCCCTCCCCCGCGGCTCAGCGCGGTCGCCGGAACCGCCCGACTCGTACGGCCTCCCCGCGGCGCACCCGTGGCTCCGCCATGCGGGTTGAGGGCACGAAGCAAGGACGCACGCCCAGCTCGCGCGGTTCCTCTCGGCCCCGGATGTGACTGTTTGGCTACAGCGCCTCCCGCCCTACGCTAGATGGGATTGGGCGCTCGCCGGTGAGGTCATCGCCAGGCGCCTAGGTGGGAAGCGGGAAGCGCAGGTATGAGGTTGGCGCGGGTGGGTTTCAGGCTATCCTCCCTCTTTCCCCCTTTTTGGTCTAGTGACCTCGCGTCGGCTTTTTTGATCCCCCTTTCCTGTAAGGTTTCCCTGAGTCATTTGCGTCCCTGCTTGACCATTCCAACCTAACGCAGGAAACTTCGCTCTCCTTACTAGCCAGTCCTAGCTCCGCCACCTTGAGTTTGAGTTAGATCTTCCTTTTCCTTCGGCTGCTGAGGTCGTGTTTTCCTGGCCAGGCGTTTTTGTTCTCCCTTAGTACCAGTGCTTATCAGAACGTGTGTGCTAGCCTGTATATAGCGTGTGAGGTCGCCACGTCTGAATATCTCCCGCCCCCCTCCCATGTTTGGGTAACCTTAAAGTACTCTTTAAGTGCTACATTATTTTGGGCAAAATATGGCCTTTCCCAGTCTTTCCTACTAACCCACCGATTAGTAGGCGAATTGAGGTGTGTTTTTAACTAATTACACATTCTAGTAGGGAGAATGACATGGAGGCTATAATTAAGAAAATTTCTTGGAAGGGAAAGAATTTCAGCATTATTTAATCATACTACGTTTTCCTAGGTGGCCAGAACGTTTTCCGACAGCCTTTAAAGAATGCTTGGAAAATAATAACCGTCATGTGAGGCAATCTACTGGGGCCCTTTACGGGAGAGTTTATATAACTCTCAAAGCAACACTGCGAAGTAATTGTTATAATGGTAGGGCTCACAGATTACCTTAGTAGTCAGTGCCACTGTCTTTCCTTGATGTCGTAAGGAATCTTTTCGAAAGCTCTCCTACTGTGAATAATCCATTTCTTGTTTTCCAGTAAAAACAAAAGAACAGCACCTACCATCTGATAAGTGGTGTTTGATTACTACTTGCCAGTCCCTTCTTAGATGTTTTTTCCTCCAAGCTTAGTCACTCAGATTCTTTTCTTTCTTACTAGTGTCAGTGCCACAGCCCTTCAACCACTCACTTTGGAAAACTGAAATGTGTGAAGAAAAGTTGACCAGTATATTTACTACAATGATAGTGACTATCATATTATTTAAATCTCAGGCTAGGGAATTTATTATTCATTTTTCAACTTTCAACCATCCCAGGAAGGCAGTCCATGTTTTGTCTGGAAAGGCACTGAAGTTTCTTTTACATCTTCAGAGATAGAGTTGGTCCATCCAAGAAGGTGACAAAGAAGAGACAGAATGAACAGCTTTAAAGGCACAGACCCTTGAAAAGGACAAGTGGATAATGGAGATATGACAGGAGCAAGAACTTAGAGAGCATTCAGTTATTAAAAGACATTGGCCTCTATCCTGTCTGCCCTGGTATAAGTGAGGGAGAGCCTCTGAAGGATCTGATGAAGTAAATCTAGTTCAGTCAGTGAGGTAGCTTTTTTTGGGGGGGCGGGGGGCAAAGTACCCCCAAGTGGCCCAGGTAGGATTTCAAAGTAGGAAAAGCTTTCCTTTATCACTACCTCCTTTTTTCTTTCTTGCCTGCTCATTACACACCGGACCGTGTCCCCTCCCCTCATGTTCAGTACTTTCTTTCTGCCCTTTGGCTGCTTAGAACTTCCATCTTGCACTCCACCCTTCATAAATATGTTTTCAAAGTACCCTACCATCCTCCTCCCCACAACTCCATAATCTCATTAGGTGTTGGAAGGAAGGCATCTATTATCTAATTAAACTAATTCACAACAGGAAATGATTAATTACTGTGCTTGACTCTTTAGGCTTCTACCTTTGAGAAGAGAAGCTTGTTGGAGTGGAGATAGTGGCACTTAGCTACTTCCAGGTAGCTCTCCAGTCCCAGTGAAACAAAAACAAGAAATGGCAGATTGCCAACTCATTTTTCTAGAAGATTGTTTTGATTTAACCTATATGTAGTTAATTTTCCCCCCTTCCTTTCACCACAGCAGTCTGATTAATACTTTTTGATTGAATATTTCAAATAATAACAAATAACTTCAATTTTGTAGATTAAGTAAACAAGTGATTTGGCTCGGGGTGGGTGGGGGGTACGCTGGTTGAATCCCTGATCAGTATTCTGTATGATTAAATTAAATGCCTCGGAATGTATGGATTTCTGGAACTTTCCCAGCTCTTTTTCCTAATGTTTCCTGTAGTAGGTCTCTATTTTAATTTTTCTGACTAGCTGGGTAATCAGTGAATATTATCCATGTGGTGTAGAGACTAGAAGTTTCATTTGTTCTTTACTCTGGTGGGTAGATATTAAGGTAGAGCTGACCTTGGACTTGTTGGGAATAACAGTCCAAGAGTTACTACTGCTTCCATTATGGAAAATTTTACAGGAACTGTATTGTCGTCTATAGTAGTCTCTTGAAGTGCAAAATTCATTTATTGCCTAACCTCTTACACTTTGGGGTGGAGTTTAACCAGATGTATCTTTAAAATTGAATTAATCTTCTCTGGAAAAGAGTTACATTAGGAGGAAAACCAAAACTTTTGTCTGCGAGTCAACCTTTACGTAGGTCCTCTGTGAGTAGATGTGTGATGGAGAAATAGAAGTACTAGAAACCCTGCTTTGTTTTTGTCTTAGTGAAAAACCTAATATTCCAACAGAGATCCAAAACCTTTATGGACACAAAATCCTAAAACTGTAGAGGGCAGACTTCTAGACTTTTAAAATTAATTCATTATAGAAAAATTAAAACTCTAACTTAGGAATAAATGATCAATACTCTAAACATTCATGACATAGATAAACTATTTGTAACTTAAGTAGCCTTTTCAATGATTAATTCAAAATTCATATTTTTAGTTAGGATATTGTCTTTATCATGTGAGTCAATAGTCATCATAAATGACAGTTCCTAAGCCTGAATATTAATACCTTTCATTTTAAATTGTATTGTGTGTCCTTTTTCCTTGGTTTATCTGGAACGTTTGGCAAAAGTCCTTGTTATGGTTTGTTGTTGTTCAGTTGCTCAGTTGTGTCCGACTCTTTGCAACCCCATGGACTGCACATACCAGGCTTCCCTGTTCTGCACTGTCTCCCGGAGTCTGCTCACACTCATGTCCTTTGAGTAGATGCTGCCATCCAGCCATCTCATCCTTTGTTGCCCTCTCCTCCTCCTGCCCTCAATCTTTCTCAGCATCACGATCTTTTCCTACGAGTCGGCTCTTCGCATTAGGTAGCCAAAGTATTGGAGCTTCAGCTTCAGCATCAGTCCTTCCAATGTATATTCAGGGTTGATTTCCTTTAGGATTGACTGGTTTGATTATGGTAGAAAATTATTTAACTACTATGTCAGTACTTGTCAGCAAAAGTCAAATCACCAGAGTTCCCTGTCTTTATCTGCCGGAGTCATTTCCTCTCCAAACCTCTCCTTTAAAATGTATTTGCTTCAGTCTCTAATTAGTTTCTTCTGTTTACTGATTGAGTGCTTCTGCTAAAATTTTTTTAATGTATCTTTGTCTTTTTTTGTACTTTGTTTTGTATATGAAAATTGCTGTATCTAATTTTGTGATTATGTTTGTTACTTTGATTACTATTAGATCAGTGTTTTGTTTTTGTTTTTTTGGCAGCCTAGTTAGTGATTTTGTATGTGTGTGTGGCTAAAAGTGGGAGGAAACAAACTTGTGTTGGGAATAGAAACTTTAAGCAGATTAAATTATTCTTCAAAACAGTATTTGGAAATTTATCTTTGTACAGTTGAACTAAATTCAGGTATTATATCTGAAAATACTAAAGCAACTATTGCAGTTTCTTAGTAGATAAAACTCTCCTTTGTCTTGTGAAATGAAAAATATAATTTGTCCAGATAGATTTGTTTGCTTCCTTTTGTCTGATCATTTAATTGTATAAATTGCCCCAATTTCCTTTTTTGCTTTACCCAGGAGGTAATTGGGTTTCCAGGTGTCAATAGTGGTAAAGAACCCACCTGCCAATGCAAGAGACAAGAGACGCAGGTTCTATCCCTGGGTCGGGAAGATCTCCTGGAGGAGGGCATGACAGCCCACTCCATTATTCTTGCCTGGAGAATCCTATCCACAGAGGAGCCTAGTAGACTACAGCCCAATTGGGGGAGGGGGGCGCAAAAGACACACATCTGAAGCGACTTAGCAGCAGCAGCAGCAGGAGATAGTTAAGGTAGTGGGTAGTATTATGTGGCAATTCCAGTTTAAAGAAGCAGGCTGCCTAGCATATCAGGAATCTAAATAATTCACATAAATACTACTGTTATATAAGTGTAAGTAGGTGATAATGTGATTTTTTTAAAATGTGAGTATATTTAGAAGCAGTAGGTAATAATGTGATTTTTTAAAAAATGTGAGTATATTTAGAAGCAGTAATGAATTATTAGTAGCTTTTGGTCATTTTCTGTACTTTCAAATACTAACAGGTTAAACCTGTTATCAAATAGAATTGTTATAAAAAGGTCTTCATTATTTAGAAATTTAGGATTGTTTTATTCTAGATCCTAAGTACAAATCCTGAACAGGTGACTTTGGGAAAATTATTTTAAATTTCTGAGACTCAATTTAATTATCTGTAAAATGGAATCATATCAATCAGAAATGTTGTTTTGAGAATAAAATTAAA